CATCTGGCAAATATTTCAAAGCACTAATAATTAATATTGAGAGTAAAAAGTGCAAGGATATTTTACTGTGTTGTCTACATCGGGGGGCAAGGGACAACAAATCAAACACTTTAAAAAAAAATATATATATATATATATATATATGTGTGTGTGTGTGTGTGTGTATAATTGATTTCAGAGAGATGAAGGGAGGGATAGAAACATCAATGAAGATAGAGAATCATGGATCTGCTGTCTCCCACACGCCCCCCACTCGGGATTGAGCCTGCAATCCACCCCCTGACAGGGAATCAAACATGACCTCCTGGTTCATGGGTTGACGCTCAACCATTGAGCCACACCAGCCAGATAAACACTCGTTATGTACACCATTAATGTTAAAAAGTGAGAAAGTATAAACATAATGTAATTATATCACATCATACCCCTCTCTTGACCCACCTCCCCTATTACTCTGCTTTCCTTTGTAGATAAAAGACTTTAAGGTGGGTTGTTGTTGGTTTTCCCTGTCTCTTAAGTTCTCTTCTTCCTTTCTCCCTTGAACTCATTGTAGTAAGACGTTCTTCTTACCACAATCCAACCTACATGTATTTGTTTGTTGTCACTTGCTATTCAAAGTGGAGTCAACAGCCGAAACCGGTTTGGCTCAATGGTAGAGCATCGGTCTGCGGACTGAAAGGTCCCAGGTTCGATTCCGGTCAGGGCATGTACGTTGGTTGCGGGCACATCCCCAGTGGGGGGTGTGCAGGAGGCAGCTGGTTGATGTTTCTCTCTCATCGACATTTCTAGCTCTCTATCTCTCTCACGTCCTCTCTGTAAAAAATCAATAAAATATATTTTTTAAAAAAAACAAAGTGGAGTCAACGAACCATGGCATCATCACCCCATGATTGCCAGAAATGCAGAACCTGCGGCCTGAATCAGTATCTACACGTGATTTACATGTGATTTACATGCACAGTGAAGTTCCTAAGTCTCACGAGAATGGGAGCTAGTTTCCATTCATTATTGTAACCTCAGAAAGCCGAGGCACTCAAGATATACTGAATGAATGAATGAATGAATGAATAAACGAACAGATGTGCTGTGCACCTGTTTCAAACAGACTCCCTGCTAATGATGTGTGCAAGGCTAGAGAGGGGCAAGAAAGACATCCGAAGTCAAAACTATCTCCCCCATGTACTGTGCTAACTTAGAGATCCCCTGGTATCCGCACACCCTTCTTTCAAAATGCAAACATATCCCGCAAGGAAAGCGGTCCTTCGAAACTGCGGGTTACTTAAATGAGATAACCATTCTCACATCTAACAGAATCAGCCAAACGGGAGAACAAGAAGGAGAGAAAGCTGAGAACGCAGAAAGTGCCTATTCTGTGCTGGCTATTGTAGCAGACAAGAGGGAAACAAAGATACATCAAGAACTTACAAGGTGGTGGGAGAAGCAGAGGACCCTTCAGGGGAGGACCAGGAGGGGGAAGTGCCTGACAGGAGAGCTCGGGAAAGCCCAAGACAGTAAAAGGGTCCAGAGTGGCCCTCCCTTTAGCAGCCTGTGTTCTGGCCACAAAGAACGCTTTCCTTTTCCTCTGCCTGAAATGTGACCATCATCGGCCAAACACCTCCTCATCCTCCAAAGCCCTCACCCTTCCAGAATTCACCTCCCCTCGTTTTATTAGATCTGATCACACATCTCAGAGGTCAGGGGCACTTTTCACCCTCTTCATGAGGGGCTTCTACAAACTACCCTATCCCTCCTCTCCTCTGGATCCCCTGCCTCAGCACAGCACTGGGGCACGATACCCGTTTGGTCAGATTCTGCCACTTGAGAAGAACACTAGCGCACACTGAGCACCTGTTATGTACCAAGGGCTGTTTTAAACACTTTAGATGTAGCAATTCATTTAATCCTCACCGCAACCCAATCAGATTGGCGCTCTTACTGTCCCAGTTGTATACACACCAGGAACCCGAGGGCCTTCGCATAAAGGAACGAGCACCGGGCCCGCACCGATGGGCAGGCAGTCGATGTTGACTGACATGAACTGAATGGGTGACCGGCAGTGAAGAAGAAGAGGAGGTCAACTTTGAACTTGACTCTTGTGTCTGGAGCCGCAGAGGGCAGAGGAAAACCGAGGGTGTCAGAGCTTGCTGCCTTACGGAACCTCCTTTCCCACACCGCCCTCCCACGTCCGAAACAGAAGTGACTGCCTGGCAGCGAGGGCTCTGGGGAGATGGGAGCCAGGCGAGCATGGAGGGAGGATACTCAAGGCAGCAGTCTTTCCTTCCAAGAAAAGGAAAGAGAAGGAAGCCCGGTGTCTTAGCAACGTTCAAGCCAAAGAGCTTGCGGTGGAGTGGATGGAGGTGGGGCCAGGCTTCAGGGGCCCCGGACACGAAAGTTCTGAACAGCGGCCACGGCATTTTCCAGAAGCAATGTATCTTTACCGTTTCTCAGCAGAGGTAAATGTCTAGCTTAGCTTTGCTTAGACAACAAGGAACAGCAGGGATGCAAGGGACAAGCCCGCAGCGAGCTAGCCCTTGCAGCAGGATCTCAACATCACGGGTCCGGCTTCTCATGCTGCTCAGCATCGACCGTTTTCCGCCGAGAGGGGCAGCACCGACCCGCAGCCACCCCGCAGGAATACCAGTGTTTCAAAACCGGGGCGTTGGCTGAAAGCCCGAGGTCCCAGAGACGTGTCATCCGTTCTTCTCCGGCCTCCCTCCTGACACTGCTTCTTCCCAAGAGGCCCCTGCTTTAGGTCCAGGGCTCAGTCACCCTGCCTCCGATGGAAACCAGAGAACAAACGAAAGCAGGCTGGAGGGGAGAGGGGGTGGGGGGGCAACACGTCGTGGAACTGAATCGGTGGCGAACACGCTGGAAACCCATACAGCCCAGTGGTTGAATCTGGACCCACACTTGGGGGAGCTGGAGCACCGGGAATCGCTCATCAGGGGGACAGCCCAAAGAGCACCCCAAAAGGGCGGAGGAAGCAACAAGTCACTCCAGGGAGAGAGGGGGGGGGACACAGGACTTGGGGGAACAACATCAACGTCAGTGATTTTTACTGTCGCTTTCATCTTTCCTGGCGATCCCCGTGCTGAGAGGACAAGGAAAAAGGACACCCCAGCAAAAATGGAACGCTCCGGACGGGAGGTCCCCCGAGGCCGGCAGCCTGAGAGAAGAGCCAAGTCCAGTCACCGGGGTTCGGAAGGACCATGTCCAGAGGCCGGAAGGGAGATCAGAAATGCAAACCCAACAAGAGGGCATCACCTGGCCTCAGGCCGAAAGGGAACAAAGCACACTTCCCAATGTCACACATCACAGAGGGGCAGACAGTATCTGCACGCAAACAGACAACAGCCCACAGTTAGCGCCTCCGACCTTGTTAGATTGCAAAACTCTCAAGGATCCGGTTCATTTTAAATGAGAGCTCAGGGCGGTTCTGAGCCAATGAACACCAAGTCATTTACGGGTGTCTGACTCAGGACTCACCTTTTACCCATGCCACCAAATCCACTCCCTGAAAACGGCTCGAAGCATATAATTCGAGGGTCAACATTCTCCAGGGGCTTCCCTCGGGTCTCAGGCACACGGCCAGCAATGACCAAACTCTGTAGCCACTCTAATCCTAACAGAACATTTCTGGGCAGTCAGTGGCTTGCACACACAGACACCTCACGTCAGGGACATCTCTTGTAATGAAGCAAAGCCAAACGGGCTTTGAATTAGGCTGTTGAGGATAAGAAATATTTTTAACCTGAAACATTCTTATCTAAAAGTGTAAGTTCCTTTTAGATCATAATTTTGGCTTTCATAATCTAATCTAATTTGGGGGTAGGGGTACACGGCGGACGGTGGGGGAGTGGTAAATAGTCCTCATTAGTCCTTGCTAAAAATCACAAAACTATACGTTATATCAGCTGAAGTGAGACTTATATTCCATGATAAACGGAATGTACCAAGAGCCAACCATTTCACCACAAACAAAAGCCTGCCCTTTACAAGTGCTGTCGTAATCATTCTTATTTCCAAAGACAATTGCTGACCTCACTTGTGTATATTTCAAAGCACATTAGCAGAATAATCCTCCCCAAATAGTGACAATAGATTTCTCAAAAACCTTCCCAGGAATTACAGTTATCTATTCCCTGAGGATTCCTGGGAATCTGGGAGCCAAGCGTGACGGTTAACCGGCCTCCTGTGCACAGCTGATTGTGTACACCTGATCAGTGCGCGGATCCCCCTGCAGCATGCAAGCCATGATCTTAGCTACCTCCGTCCCCGGGAGAAACGGCGTCTCCTGTCAACGCCGGGGAAACTGTTCGGGAAGCCCCCATGGCAACCGCCTTAAACTCTGGCCATTTCACGCAGTTAAAACAAAGTGGAGCCAAAACCGGTTTGGCTCAGTGGATAGAGCGTCGGCCTGCGGACTGAAGGGTCCCGGGTTCCATTCTGGCCAAGGGCATGTGCCTTGGTTGCGGGCACATCCCCGGTGGGGGGTGTGCAGGAGGCAGCTGATCGATGATTCTCTCGTGGATGTTTCTAACTCTCTGTCCCTCTCTCTTCCTCTCTGTGAAAAATCAACAAAATATATTTAAAATAAAATAAAGTAAAATATAAAACAAAGTGGACACCCAATCCCAGGGAGCCCAAAATACAGTGGACGTGCCCACCGGGGCATGTGTCCTACAAAAACACTTCCCTTTGAAGGCGTGCTACCCACACCATGCCTTTACCCAAAGGAAGCGTGCCTGTGGGACCCGGGGAAGCACCTGCAACTTGTCCAGAAAGGAGATCCGAAAGCACCTCTTGTCACTCCCCCGCCCAGCGGCGCTTTCCCGGGAGACGCGTTCCCGCCGGTGCGCCCGCCGCGGCGGCAGCCAAGGGCGGAGGAACCCCCGGCGCCGGCGCCGGTGCCGCACAGCCCTCTCCCTCCCCGGCCGCCGCGCCAGGTGCCCGCCCGGCCCTCCCCGAACCCCCAGCGCCCAGCGGGGCGCCCTGCTTACCCGGGTGGGCCGGGCAGCGCCCGGGCAGGGCCGCCAGCAGCAGGAGTCCCAGCAGCAGCGGCGGCGGCGCCTCCAGGGACGCGGCGGCCCGGGGACCCCTCGCGCGCCCGGGGCCGCTCACTCCGGCCGCCCCGAGCCCGCGCGCCCCGGACCGGACCCCGCGCCTCCTCGCCGCCGGCCCGGCTCCCCGCGGGCCCCGCCGCTTCGCCTCCTGCCGAGCCATGGGGCCGCTTCACGCATCCAGGCCGCCGCCGCCTCGCTCCGCGCCGCGCCCGGGAGCCCAGCCTGCGGCGCCCCGGTCCTCAGCGGGCATCTCCGGCCATGGCCCGGGCGCCGGGGGGCGGGGGCGCCGGGCGGCGGCTTCACCCGCGCCGGGGCCGGGGGCCGGGCCGCATGGGGGTGCCCGCGGAGCGGTGGCCGGGCGCCGGGCAGGAAGGGCGGGACGGACGCCGCCCGGGGTCCCCTCCCGGGCAGCTCCCACGGGCTGGGGGGGCGAGGCTTCGGGGAGCAGCCGCGGGCGCACGGGGGACCCTCCTGCCCGCCGGCCTCTCCGCGCCCTCTGGCTCCGGTCCGGCTCCCGGGCGGACGGCGCTACTGCAGCTCCGAGCGGCGCCTCATTGACAAAGGGAGCACGTCGCCCCGGAGCCGGCGAGGCAGGCGAGGCCGGCGCGCGCGCGCATCCCCGCGCGGAGCCCCTGCGCGCCCCCCGCTCCCGCGCGCCCCGCGGGAAGCGGGCGGGGAAGGGGCCTCAGGGCGGGGAAGGGAGTGGGGAGTGGGCTTCCCTGCCCCCTCCTTCCCATCATTCCAGCCCCCCCATCCAGAGGAGAAGAGGTGGGCAGGAGAGGACTTCCGGTCCTGAGAAGGGAGGTAAAGGGTCCTCGCCCAAGTACTGAAGATGCCGAAAGCGCTCCAGCCTGCGTTTCCGAAAGCCCTTGGCTGGTGGGAGGGCGTGCTTTGTGCTGTTGGTCCCCTGCTTCTCCCAGGAGCCAGGGAGCACCTGCATGTCCCGTTTGCCTCTGAGCAACTGCAGCAGTTGTGTCCTAGTTGCAATAACATGCTAGGTTAAACACATTATAGATACACTAGAGGCCCCGTGCACGAAATTCATTGGGGGTTGGGGGTGGAGAGGGAGGAAGGCAGGTGTCCCTCAGCCCAGCCTGCACCCTCTCCAATCTGGGACCCTTCGGAGGATGTCCAACTGCCGGTTGGACATCCCTCTCACAATCCCAGACGATGGGCTCCTAACCGCTTGCCTGCTTGCCTGGTTACCGCTAACCGTTTCTGCCTGCTAGCCTGATCGCCCCCAACTGCCCTCCGCTGCCAACCTGATGGCTCACAACTGCCCTCTACCCTGCTGGCCTGATCACCACAACTACCTGCCTCCTCCACCAGGCCCTGCCTCTGCTGTGCACAAGGCCATCTTGTGACGGCGTTAGGGTGTGATGCATGAGGCCATGACAGCCACCTAACCCAGTGGTCGGCAAACAGACCCTCGAGAGCCACATGCAGCTCTTTGGCCCCTTGAGTGTGGCTCTTCCACAGAATACCACGTGTGGGCACACACATACAGTGGGATTGAAACTTCGTGCCCATGTACAGAAGTCAGTTTTCAGCTCTCAAAAGAAATTTCGATCGTTGTACTGTTGATATTTGGCGCTGTTGACTAATGAGTTTGCCAACCACTGACCTAGGCTTTTATTGGTATAGATTGTGCCCCGCCCGCTGGGGAGACCAGGAGTAAGTCTTCTAAACGTTGCTTTCCTGGAATGGAATTAAGCAGGCACTACCCAGCGGCCCCAGAGGCAGGCGAATGGCCCCCTTGCTCTTCCCTCCTCAGGCTAGATGGCCCATGAGGAAGTCACCCAGTTCATCAGCGCTTCCGACATCTCTCAGTCTCAATAAATATTGAGTGCCCACTGCTTGCCAACTGAGTCCCGGGGACCAAAAAATGCACGCCCCTGACCAGATGAAGTTCAGACTTTATTCAGGCAACAATAATATTCCTGGCTGCCTGTTGTGTGCCAGGCACTGTTCTAGACACTGGGGACAACAGCCACAAACAAAATCCCTGCCTTCTTACTGCTGAAATTCGAGTGCAGATAATACCGGCATGAACAATAGATAATATGTCAGTAGCAATACATGCTCTGGAGGAAAAAGAATGAAAGTGGAGGATGCCATGTTCCCGTGTTAAACAGGATGGAAGGAAGGCCTCACCGAGAAGGTGACATTTGAGCAAAGACCTCAAGGAGGTGAAGGAGTGAGCCGGGCAGAAAGAACATTCCAGATAAAGGAGACACCAAAGGCAAAACCCAAAGGCCGAGCATGCCTGGTGTGCTCAAGGCCCAGCGTGTAGGAAAAAAGTAACACCCTATTTCATCTAAGACATGCATCTTACATGTTAACTTTTCAGAAGTGAGGTGTGTCTTGTAATGCATCTGAGACTTATTGAAGTATAGGAATGCCTAGCTGGGTTATTTATTAAGCTTGCTGTTCAAGGGAATTAGTTCTGCTGTTTCTCAGAAACTTACAGTCCAGAGGAGGCAATAAAACAACTCAAAAGGTGCGTTTGAGACACGCATGAGAAAGCCAGTCAGTGGCCATGATTCAGGCAACATCATGACAGGAGGAGAAGTCCTGGCAGCGTTCTGTGAGCCCAGGCTCATGGGAGTGAGGGGGGTGGTGGCAGGCTGTCAGGGCAAAGTGGGTTGGGGCAGCTCGGGTGTGGAGAAGCAGAGAGCGCTGAGCAAAGGGGTGGGGTGAGATTCGGGAAAAGCATGTGTGGAGCCCCGTGGGGAGAATTGGGAGGGAGAGAGGAGAAGGAATGGTGGGACCCACTTGGGGAAAGCTCTGGACATATTTGGGCTTTTTCCCCAAAGGAGAAGGACGGGAGAGGGAAGGAAGCATGGACCAGGCTCGGTTGGTAGCAGCTGGGGACACAAAGGTGGGTGTGATCGGAGAAATACAAGCCCTTTAGTGTCACAGCCTTCCTTCACCTCACCTCTTAGCTGCACTTAGAACACGCTGCGGTGAGAGGCATTGATGGGACAAGGTGAGCGAGTCCCAGCCAGGGAGCTGGAGGGGCTGGCTGGATTCATATAGCAAAGACAGAATGTTCCTGGCCTCGAAGACATCGAAAGATCCAGAAGGGGAAAGGGCTGCAAAACAAGAGAATCCAGGTTGCACCACGGCTGGGTTCTTTATGAGCGGGTAGAGTGAGTGGAGAGAGATTTTGGGAGCAGCTCCCATGGAGTTGAAAAAGAGCAAATGTGTATCTTAAAAAGGTTTCAGCTGTGTGGCAAATGGGATCTTCCCTTCACCATGACTGGCCAGACTTACAAGATATAAATCATTGCCCTAGCCGGTTTGGCTTAGTGGATAGAGTGTCAGGATTCGATTCCAGTTGGGGGCACATACCTGGGTTGCGGGTTTGATCCCCATTGGGGGAGGTGCAGCAGGCAGCCGATCAATGATTCTCTCTCATCATGGATGTTTCTATCTCTCTCTCTCTCCCTTCCTCTCTGAAATCCATAAAGATATTTTAAAAAAGATATAGCCGAAACTGGTTTGGCTCAGTGGCTAGAGCATCAGCCTGCAGACTGAAGGGTCCCAGGCTTGATTCCGGTCAAGGGCTGTACGTTGGTTGCGGGCACATCCCCAGTGGGGGTTGTGCAGGAGGCAGCTGGTCAATGTTTCTCTCTCATCAACGTTTCTAGCTCTCTATCCCTTTCTCCCTTCCTCTCTGTAAAAAAATCAATAAAATATATATATATTTTAAAAAGATATAAATTACTTTTCAGTGACTTGGGTTGTTAAACTGGTGTTTCATTTCATTTTTCTCCCTGATGGTGCTGGCCTCAAGGTCAGACACAGCGAGGTGGGGGGGGGGGGGCATACACAGACAGCAACCACTGAGAGGGACCACGTGGTGGGTAGGCAGTAGAGGGTGTGCAGACGGCCCATCATTGTGGGCAAGTGGGTGAGGGGGGCTATGTCTGCCGGGAGGAGGAGGATAGGGGAGGAAGGAAGATAACATTTAAAGTTGGGGTTTACTAGGCTCCACAAATGGCAAGGTAAAAAGGCACGGACGTTTGGGGCACTTGGCAAGGAAGGGTGAGGTGTCTGGGAAGGATAGCACAGAGGGGACGTGGGGAGACTGCTTCAAGGCGGAAGACCTACGATGGAGATGTGCGGAGGCTGAGTTTGTGCCTGACCCTCATCCGATAGGAACAACTCTGGGAGCATTTCTGCTGGAGCAGGGAGCTGGATGAGACAGCTCCCAGTCCTTGATTGCAGTCTGTGTACCGTCTGAAACTTGACTACTTCCATTTAAATGCAGGCTCTACCATTTGCTAGCTGTATAACTTTGGGCAAATCACAGATTCTCTCTCTCATCTATAATACGAAATGATAAGAGCATCTATCTCCCTGGTTTTGCTTTAAGGATTGAGTAGATACATGTCAAGCTTTTAGAAATATAATTGGCACATAGTAATTGCTCAATCTTATATATTATATAACAACTAGAGGCCCGGTGTACAAATTCATGCACAGGTGGGTTTGGGCCAACCCAACCCAATCAGGGCCAATTGGGCTGGACTGGCCACCAGCAGTTGGCCAGCCAACCCTGCCCCTGGTCAAACTCTCAAACTCCTGGTTGAGGGGACAATTTGCATATTAATCTTTTATTATATAAGATTACATTCCTCTTAAACCATAAGCCCTTCTGTTAAGTCTTTTAAAACTCGAGCATTGAGACTTTCCCCGTGTGTGAATTCATTGCTGTGTAGCTTTTAAAAATCAGTCTCTTTTGCCTGGCCAGTTTGGCTCAGTGGTTGAGCATTGATCTATGGGCCAGAAGGTTGAGGTTCAATTCCTGGTCCAGAAGGGGCAGGAGGCAACCTATCAATGATTTTCTCTGATCATTGATATTTCTGTCTCTCTCTCCCTCTCTAAAATCAATTTCTGTCTCTCTCTCCCTTTCTAAAATCAGTGTTTTTTGTGAAAAGCATTTTGTCAGGCAGGGGCAAATAACCAATCTCTGGGCAGTAGTTTCAGGCCCTCACCTGAAATTTCCCACGTTACCACAGGGGAGGGGAAATACCTGGGCCTCTCTCTCATCCTTTTCTGCAATAAGCAGAGGAGACCTCGTCTCTGTCACTAACATTCCTTGTTGGTACAAAGGCCACGTCCACACTGAAGTCCTTTCTGTGCCCGGACCTGTGCCAGGTCCCAGGGTTCCTATGACACACAGGCCCTGCCCCTGCCTCATGGAGCTCAGTACTTGCCATGTGAGGGCGATGAGTAAGCACACACTTATGCCACGCTAGGCAAGGGCTGTCAAAGATGCGGTGGACAG